GTGGTTAAAGTTGAATGAGGAAATAGTTTTTTGCTAACCGAAGCAAAGACCGCTTCAACTTTTAAGCGTGGGAGTAGAGCACTATGAGGGTAACTGCTGCTAATTTACTGACAAAAGTAAAGATGGATTCAATTGAATATTTTCCAGTTCTGTAAGAAAAAAAAAAGTCAGCATCAACTTCAAGTTGCAGAAGCAAAGAATAATACTTCAACCCCAAGATAACTAAAGATTCACCCCACCCAACCTTGACATCAAACAATGAACCCTATTACCCTGGTAGAAACAGAGAGGAAAATGTGGATTCAGACCACTGAAGTTCAGCACAAATTGAAATGGTAGGTATGTAAAAAAATGTTGGGTTTTTTTTGGGAATTAAAACAAAAACAAATAATCTTGGTTTTTAAAAAAAAAGTGTTTACAAGATGTGTACTTATTGTATGTAGTCAGTAATATCAGCACTTTTATGGTTAAAAACAAGTTGTTGTTTTTTACTGAATTAACAGGAAGAAAACGATTTTGCTGAAACTGAACTTATGCTATGAGCATATTAGGTCATGTTCTCCAGTTTTTACAGTTTCATATTTTAATTAAACAGAACAGTAAAGCTAATTTTTTTTCCAATGTATATTACTTTAAGAAACACAATCAGATTCTTGAACAATCAAAACCAGAAATAAATCTGACATTATCGAGACCAAACAACAATAAGCTACAAGCTAGGTAATATGCGTGCTGGAGGGCTAGCTAATCTTTTAGCCTCCGGCAAACGGATTAGCCAATTCCCGGGGTCCAGACATGGGCAAGCAGTGAGAAGATACTGGCCAATTCTGAACTCCAACACTAAGACTCTAATCTCGGCATTAGCTAAAAGGTGGTGTAAGTTGTCACGGGAATACATGTAAAGCTTTAAATCCCATCCTTGAGCCAATTAAGTTGAGCCGGAGCAACGTTTAAAGTTCCTATAAATGCCGCTTTTCAGTAAGTCGGCATCAGACAGAGAGAAGCCCACCTCACTTAGGCGACAGGAAAAACATGAAGTATCACACCACTGTCTAAGTGTAGATTTAAAATTATACCGCATCCAGCTCGTATTTAATCATCCAGTCTAGTTGAACGTTTCATTCAAAAACCAGCCCAATGAAGATGAGGACAAGTCGTCAAGAGGAAATGCCAGATGACTTCTGGATCCCCATCCCCCTGGAAACCGACAACATCACAGCCCTGAGCCCGTACCTAGTCCCCCAGGACCATTTAGGGAGCCTGGGGCTTTTTTATTCAATGTCAGCATTAATGTTCTTCTTGTTTGTGGCTGGCACGGCCATCAATATCCTCACAATCGCATGTACTATTCAATACAAGAAGCTCCGCTCCCATCTGAACTACATCTTGGTCAACATGGCTGTGGCGAACCTCATCGTCTCGTCCGTGGGCTCTTTTACCTGCTTCTACTGTTTTGCCTTCCGATACATGGCTCTTGGTCCTCTCGGCTGCAAGATCGAAGGATTTACGGCGACTGTTGGTGGTAAGAACAGGAAAATATTAGAGCAATCCCAGTCTGTGAAAGCTGGCTTCATGCTTTACCAACTGAGTTAGAATTTAAGAGAAATGTAAGATATTGTGGAGAATTTAGTAACTAGCTGTAATCCTGTCTATATGACAAGTCTTGTATAGTATGCCAACATGTGCATCACCTAAATTCTGTCTTGTTTTTCCTCAGGCATGGTGAGCCTTTGGTCTCTTGCGGTGATTGCATTTGAAAGATGGCTGGTTATCTGCAAGCCACTCGGGAACTTTGCCTTCAAGTCGGAGCATGCTTTGCTCTTCTGTGCACTTACCTGGTTCTGTGCTTTGTGCGCTGCAGTTCCTCCATTAGTGGGATGGAGTCGGTGAGGACAATTCTTTAGCTATGGATTAATCTGACACAGTCCTGGAATCGTATTGCTACATGTATTGTCTGCTTTGCCAGGTATATTCCTGAGGGAATGCAGTGTTCATGTGGACCAGACTGGTACACAACGGGCAATAAGTACAACACCGAATCCTTCGTGCTGTTCCTCTTCTGCTTCTGCTTTTCCGTCCCTTTCACTTGCATTGTCTTCTGCTACTCGCAGCTGCTCTTCACACTGAAATCAGTAAGTGGGACGTTGTGAGCTACCTAGAATTGAATCGTCGATTTGTGTTTGGTGTGGCTTTTTGGCTCGGATTCTGACCCAACCTGTGAATCTGTAGGCGGCAAAGGCCCAGGCAGAGTCTGCCTCCACCCAGAAGGCAGAGAAAGAGGTGACCAGGATGGTGGTCGTCATGGTGCTGGGCTTCCTGGTGTGCTACATGCCATACGCCTCCTTTGCGCTTTGGGTCGTGAACCATCGTGGACAGACATTTGACCTGAGACTTGCTACCATACCGTCCTGTGTCTCAAAAGCCTCCACGGTCTACAATCCTGTCATCTACGTTCTCCTCAATAAGCAGGTAGGCTTATGGGGGGTGGGCTTAAAAGATTGATGGTGGTATTACACTATAAAGCTGAAGGAGAGACCAACTATAGACCTTTTCTGTCTAGAACATGGCTGATAAAGGCCGTCAATGCCCCCTAACGGTGGATTTTAAATATAATCAATGGCTCAAACTGCTTTCTAAACATTCTACCTTAGATAGGTGTTTAGTGTTAATTTTTTTTTTACTTCTTTTGCTAGTTGTCTGTTTGACTCTTGGATGTCAGCAATGTCCGAACCCCAAATATGTCGCCGTGTGGCAAAATCAACAAATCCTAACGAGATCGCATTTGATCCACGCTGAATGAAGGAAAGCATCTGAAGTGTCCGTCTTTGCCTTTGCTTTCAGTTCCGCTCTTGCATGAGGAAGATGCTGGGGATGAGTGGAGGCGACGAGGAGGAGTCATCTGCAAGCCAGTCGGTCACTGAAGTCTCAAAAGTTGGACCCTCTTAAGATCTTTGCCTGTCTTGATTTGGATGACATGGAAATGACCAACTTTGATGTGTTTTTACTGTTGTTACATCTTAGGGTTTTCAAAGAAAAATGTTAAAAAAAAAAAAAAAAAAAGACAAAAAAGAGAAAAAAGATTCATCTGATGAAGCTGATATTTTTTGGTGCATTTTACCATGGACATAAAGCAAAAACACATTCTAGAATTGTATTCTGATGTGAAAACATGGGGATTGCTTTTCTTCCAAAAAAAATTTGACTGAGGTCTCTGAAAACCCATAAACTACAAAATAAATGCATGTAGCACATCTGCCGCATGTGTGGATAAGTTGTTCTGCATGCCATGACTTGTAAGTATTTACTTGTATATATGTAGCAACAGAATTAATAAAGAGAAGCTCATATCCACTTGGGAAAGAAATTATTTGTTCTCAAAGAAAGAGAGCACTGCCTGCCGTATTGGACCTGTGGGATGAATGGTATGTACTCATATAGTATGATTACTGGGTATTGTAAACCTAAGCTTCACAACCATATGGGTTTTATTGTTTCATGTCATTTTTTAATTCAAAAGTCTTCACACAAGAAGCGTCAAATCTGCAATTTTTATTTGACACGCTTTAAGCATTTCAACACAAATTATTTTAATGTAATAATGTAAATTAAGTATTTATGGATTTTAGAGAGGTGTAGTGTGGAAAAATGCAAATTTAAAACTCAGTTTATTCTTTTGAATACTTTGATTTTATTCCACTTCTCAACCAATAAAAAACTCCGACACTCTTCAGCTAACTTACTATAAAGACGCTGGGTTTGAGGTTCGCCTCCTCTTTAGCCAGAACACAAAATGGCTGCCACAGCAGAGACACCGACATGGTAACAAGACACCTACAGTATAAGTGAGGCAAACAACAACATAAGGAACCAGTGGAGAACAATGCAACCAGAGATATACAGTATATATACAGTGAGGAAAAAGTGGAGGATGATGACATGAGAACTGGAGGGGCCGATCAAGGAAGGAAAACAGCTGAGTGAGTGCAGGCAGAGGGAAGTTAAGAGATGGGAGACAGCAGGTGGAGGATTGGTGAGAGATAAAACCAGCAGGAGGAAAGGAGGCAATAAAGGTAAACAAAGGGGAAAACCTGAAGCTAAGGTTACGATCATACAGCAAGATGAATGCAAACCAAATGCAATTGTTTTGCCCATATCCGACTTTTTCATGGCAGTCGGAACAGTCCGGTTCTTAGCTTTTACTCCCATTGCTGAATAAATTAAAACTGATCCATACATAGACAGTAGCATCCATTATTACGCTGCTGTGTGATGCCGTCATTCCTTTTCTGGACGCGCGGGTTGATTTAGGGTCGTAAACCACTCACACAGAAGTTTGATCGTTGTCATATTTAATTAGTAATATGAACGACCACAAAAAAGGAAAACGAAACAGATTTTAACAACAACAACAAAAATTGCAATTGGGAATGAAGACCTAAAACAAAGCCTAACCTAGCAACAGGCAACAAGTCCAATATACAAATAATAAGAAATGACATAATATCAAGGATTAAACTGTGATTATCTAAATACATGAACAATAAATATGATCAAATCTGAAACCCAAAGTTTAAATACGCACATATCATGACAAGATTTGGCAGGCCACCGTTAAGAGCGTTGCTTCCTTCATATGTAAAATATTTTTGTTGCTTTTATTAGGGAGTTCTCTAGAAAGAGTCTTCATCTACCAAACTCAGTGCAGCTTGCTTGTAGGAAGGTTTTTGAAACATTTTGTTTTCCAGACAAAAAAATGACTTATAGCCAGAAAACATCTGGTTGTTTATTTTTTTTGTTTGTTTGTTTGCTTCTTGGACAGTTTCTAAAACTAATAAAGACCCAAGTGGAAGTACAACAACGTGCAGAAAGTATATTTTGCATAATTTTTTACCTTAAACCAGGTTATGTGCTGAATCAGGAATTTATTGCACATTTACTCTCTTAGAAAATATCCCAAATAAAATAACTATATTACACATTGAACAAAAACGTACAATCACTTATTTCATCAATTACATATTTATTTGACAAATGTTTGTTGTTTTGGCCATCTTGGTCTCTTGTAGTTTGGTGAAAAACCTGGAACACAACAAAACCCAACACATGCAGACACACCGAGACAGTGATCTCTATACACTCGTCACGCGAACTGTACAGTGACAAATCAAACGAGTAATTAAAATGTTAGTGCCGAAAAAGTAAACAGAACCCAACATAACATTATGACCATCTGCTTGGAACAGCCATTTTGTTTCACATCAAAATCTCTACACTCAACGGATGATGATAAAACCTCAGTGTGTGTCTGTGGTGTTGTGATATTCGCTAAACAGCCTGGCTGTGAGGTGAATTCGCTAGGATTTGGGTTTGTTTTCAGCAACGCAAAAAATACAAAACAGTTGGGGATAAAGAGATTAGTTGAACACGTGGCCCTAAATATGTGGTCATTTTCCTAAAAGTTGTTGTTTGTGACATATAAAAAGTTGTGTATACCACATATGTCACTTATGGAGGTTGCTATTTTTCACCTGCACAATGTGTACCGGGCCGATGACTTTAGTAGGTTAGAGTGGACACAAGACTGTAAACAAAACACAAGAGACCAAGGATAACATTACGTGATTTGTTTGAAGTTTTCTAGCTCTGCTTTACGAGTTATCTGTTAAAACAGCCAAATGTGGTTGGCTAGACATTATGTTAGCAAGAGCTAACGCCGTTAGCAGGCACTAACACAAAATCAGATCAAATTGGAAAATAATCTATGACTGCTTAAAGAACAAAGCAACTTTAAGTCTTTGTGAAGGTGCTTACAAAGACTATTATGCGATTTAAGGTAGCATTCTGATGCTTACCGTAAATACCCTGAATTAGAAATTGTAGCTCTTTACAGAAAACACTCTCCTCTAGGGTTAGCATTTCTATACATCAGCCACACAGTAACCAGGTTTGTGGCTGAGTATCTTCTCTTTCTTTCATTTTCACTTCCTCTTGTCATTTCTGCATTGCATTCAATTTCAATGTGCTACATTTCAAACTGAAAGGGCTGAACGTTGCGCATACAAAGATCACTGTTCTGTTTTTTTTTACGGAGCTAGCACTGTAGCGCCTCGTATATGTCATCTACCCAGGATGCATTACAGGGTAAACAACAAGGTGACGTCCATGTGACAGTATTTATTTAAATTTATAAAAACTGAATAGTCTACAATTTTTTAAATATATTTTTTATGTCTGAAATAAATAAATGCTTCTTAAATAAATTATATTCTAGTTCTATTAGAACTAACTGTGGATCCCTTTTAAGAGACTGAAAGCTGAGTGAGTACTTCAAAAAGATTCTTGAGTATCCAGGCTAAAGTCAGCTTTAAAGGAGATAAAATAAAAATCAAATCACTGTGTTGTAACAAGATTACTGGTTTCACTCACCTTACTTGTAAGTGGTCATAATGTTTTGGCTAGTTGTTGTATTCACTCGTAAGCTTTTCTAACACTTTAATGCAATAGAGTTAAGGCAGTTTGCTGGATAGGATTACCTTATGGAACAAATGAAGGCAGTTGTTACCTAAACAGAAAAGAAAACAACAGACATTTACAGATAAAAAAAAATCTTTTCTTTTCTCAGATCTGTTTCACATTGTAACATGTTTGTTTAAATGGCATTAAAAAAATGAAATACATTTGAAAAAAAAAGCATCACGAAAGTCAAACACAAAGTTATATTTTCACCCTGAAGACATGGGAGTTAATCAGTCCAACTAAAACATCACAGCGCTGGAATTGACCCTGGAACTTCTTACTGCAAAAGTAAGAAAAAGGGAAGATCAGAAAAATCTGGTTATTAAAGGTAAAAAAAAAAGAAAAAAAAAAGAAAACAAAAACAATTTGTGAAGTGATTAAGAAAAACCCTGAGAGAATATTACCTGATGTTAAGTGAACTCAGAACCATGAGATCATCAGTGGCCGATTTGGCTCACTTGGCACCAGAGTAATTTTCTATCAACCTTAACGCCACACATGTGAACCACCTGTTGCTCAACACAGCAGCTTAAGACCTTTACCGCCAGTCATTCCCGTCGCTTGTCGGGAGCAAATCCGAGTTCTGCTAGTAGTGAACTTTTGCCAAACATGAATAGTTCAGAACTAGCGGAATTCCAGACTTACCCTCGAAATATCCCAGCATCGCATGGAAAGTTCGGGCGGTATAAAAATAAAAAAATAAAAAAAAGTTACAAGTTTCAACCTTATGCTAAATGGAGATTTTTGTTACAGTAAAAATGCTAATACTTCTAACAGTTTTTCATATCTATCATGTATTCTAACACAAATACAGACATGCAAAAGTGTTATATATCTAAGAGATAGAAAAAAGAATCTAAATCTTTACAAAATGTTTACAAAAATCCTGAGTTCCAGGTCCATCCTCTTCTTGAAGTGAAAGAAGTCCTTGCGCCACATGGAGCACTTATTAAATGTGTGAGCAAGCACATGGTATAGATCCAATAAGAAAGAAAGAAAGAAAAAAAAAAACAAAGCACACATGAAAGGATTAAAGTAAACCACTACAGAGGCTTTGATTAGGCTGAGCGTGCTCCTGACGTGACCTGTTATTCCGGAGCGATTACCTTCTTACGGAGTGAGCATGCCAAAAGTAATTACTCTATGCTAAGCAGTTTTGTGGAGCAACCTGAGCTGTCCGTATAATCTGATTTAGTCTATTGGGGCATGAGATATCCTCACTTGGGTTTCATTAGGTCAAATCAAGACGCTGTTGGTTTAGTGCTGTGCACTAAATAATACAGTACTTCAGTTCACATCAATTTTGAAACCACAGTAAAACTTCTAAAATACGTACAAAGTTTGAATGCATTCCACTGATATTAAGGCGTAGGCCTATTATCACTAAAACTAATAGTCGACATAAGTGGCCAAATTATGCAAAGTACTAAATTTAAACTGGAACAGCAAAGAGATGATTGAGAAGTGATCAATTTCTCTGAAATCCCATTCTGTTATGTTTCTTAAAGTTTTTTGGCAGCAGCGGTTTTCATCCATAAATTGCTGAACAGGAGGTACATCAAATAGAGAAGGGAAAGACATTCAATAAATGGCCCTCGATTGGGAATCCAGTCACATGACGCCACTAAATGTAATGTTTCAAACTCTAAAGACAGATTAAAGCCTTTTTTTTTAAACTGTTTTTTATCAAATTGTTAAATAAATTAATGGCAAAGCCTAGGTTAGATCTTCAACCAACAAATAGGTCAAGTGGGCAACCTAACACCATCTTACTAACTAGTTGGTTGAAAAAATAACCCACAGTTAATTGTTGCTAATGTAGCAGGATGAAGCCTGTCCCAAGACGGAGGACACCAGGCCCCTAATTATCTCCTAATGGGTGTAGAGCATACCTGTTTTCTTCATGCCTGCATTTGGTCATGCTTCAGTGTGAAGGTTGCTTGTTTAGCTTGCAGGGCCAGAACCCTTAACACCAGTAAGCAATGTTTCTCCTTCTGTGTAAGAGCTGCAATTTTAGTGGTTGATTCAAATTGTTTAAATTTAGAAACTGCCTGAAGTCTCCTGCTTGGTACTGGGGTCTGGACGGGTTGGAGACATCCAGCTCTGGTAGGTGACAATGGCTTCCTCTACCTTCTACAATTTCTAAAATCATCTACTACCTGTAACTTAATGTCAGACATAAAGCTGCTGCAGCTCGCTAGAGACCCTGCTCCCTGCTTTAAAGGGCCGAGAATCAAAATTCATAGCCTTGTGGTGCCACACTAAGATCCATTTGCTATGGACAGTTGTCAACCTTGGGTACCATGCACAAAGAGGCAATCTTGGTTGTTGCCCTACATGTCTTTGCTCACACAAATTTGCTAGTTTGGAAGACCAGTGTAACCAACTAGTGTACATATACATGTGGGTTACACCAGAAAAAAATCATTTCAGACAGTGCTCCAGAATGGACAAATTTCAAAATGCTAGTTTCATTTGTACGTCTGAGTCGCATCTTTTTCTGAATCGATATTTATATTTGTCTCTACTGCGCATGCGCCGCATTTTTTCAACTGGTCGGAGTCTCGTTCTGTGGCAGCGCTACTGATTGGCCCAGCATACCCATCACTGTTTTCAGTGGCGCTGCTTCCTGTCACGTGGACACATTTTTCTCTTGATTGTGTAAAATAAATACGTTTTGCTTGCTTGCCTCTGTGTGGACATGGGCCTATTTTGCCTATAATCAGAGGTATTCTGGACATGATCGACCTGCTGCCACGTAAAATGACACACCTGCAGACGGTAGGTCGTATTATTACCAGACTCTGCATTATTAAATATTTCAACTTTCAATCATTGTAACCAGCAGGTTTATTGGCAATAACTTTGAGGCGTTCCTTAGTGTTTAACCTACGACACTGAACAACTCGTATATTGTGACAATAAAATTCATACTTAAAAAAAATTACAAATATTGCTTTTCTACATTCACAACGTGACAAACTCTGGTCAATGTGTGAATAATGAATATAGAGCTATAGTCACAAACTACAGCTAACTCTAGCTGTAGAGTATCAACTAAAAGGCTAATTTACGTGATTCATAGCAGTGGGATTCATGTACGTTGAATATGGTGTTTATAAGCTGATGGCTACTCCAAAAGGGTTTTCTCCAGACTGACATTGCATTTTATGAAAGTTACATTGTCATACATGGATAGGTGCTGCTACATGTTAAAGTAGACGTATTTTAAGACGTGCTAGGAACACAAAACAAATTAGCAATAGCATGACAAAAAAAAAAAGTCATGTTAACTTAGACACACCAGAGTGTTTCCAAGCAGAGTTGTACAATATTATAAAATATTGGAATGTCAAACTTATTAAATATCTTGATGTCAGTTGTGATATGAATGTTTTCTCCTTTCCTCTCCTTCCCATCTGTTTTTCCATTGCCCTGTTAGGTCAAAGCTATTTGTGTTTTATCTTCTGCCACGATACTCTGTTCAACCGGCTAAATATTACATTAGCATGGAAAATGCAAGTTCATAGCACTTGACAAATATTAGGCAACAACTATTGCAGTCCAAACAATCCTGATACGAATATTGCGCACAGTATTATGTAGACATACTTGCAAAATTTTGTAGCGCCTAATCCATATTCTCTGCTTACTGCTATGAATATAACATATTCAATTAACTTAGGATGTATTTTTATTTTTTTATGCGAGAGCAACTGGAATATCCAGATAACTTGCAATAGAACAATCCCAAATTACATAGAATGGAGGACGGGGAATATCCTTTTCAAATTCCTATCCAAAATGTCTCTTGTGTACATGTAACAAATGCATTTTGCAAGACGGCAGAACTTTGGCACTCTTGCATTCCATAGGTGGGAAACACAGTAATTATTTTGCTTGTGACAGATGTATAACCTCTTCTAAAAAAGCAAAAATATCTAATTATAGATTATTAACCATAGAAATCATTAAATGAGAAACTCCAAAACTCAACTTTTAGTTTAACTGATTACACAGAAATGAGACTCAATACAGAAAAACCCAGTTTATCAAATGGGTCAGTGACATGTCTGAGAAAGTTCAGTGGCATGAGGTCTTCTGTAAAATCAACGAGAGGCAGGGTATACACTGGACACGTAACACAGAGACACAAATCCTTACGGTGTTGTTGCTGCAGTACACTTAATTTTAAACCACCAATCAGCATGATATGTATGACTGAGCAGAAGGAATAAAAAAACCTTGCAATCAAGAGTTTGCTGCTGGACTGCAAATCCCTGCTGAATTGCTTGCCTAGTCCTAACCTAAGATGTCCCTCATCATATTTAGGGCTAATGGTGGTGAAACATAAACGGTTGAAAACACAAAATAAAATAAAAACTCTACGAACATAATTAAAAGTGTGTCAAAAGTTTAGAAAGCAAAGTTTTCAGAAAGTGGATTTTCCGGAACAGATGCCGTGGCCCAATAATGCTATTACGACAATGACGTGAAAAGTAGCCCAGTAGGTGGGTAGGAAAAAAAAATCCAATCTTCTGAGGTGAATCTTCTTTCCGGATGGATTAAAGGTGTCCGACTTGCTCCACATGTCAGCAATTACAACAGTCACGGTAACAGTGCCACAGATCTCTTCTTATCCTCAGAATCAGCTTTAAGAGGTGTCTGTCCTTTCTAGCCAACCAGACAGCAAAAACAAATGTAAAAGTGTATTTGTTTCCTATATAAAGCACAGGGTTATGTTAGCACACCTCCAATTTTAAGAAGTATTTGTTACTAGGCTCCTGGAATTGTCATACATAAAACAGTCAGAAATGTATCTATGAAAACTCTCCAAATAATCCATATATTGGGTGAAAGTACGGAAATCCACTCAGTGTCTTAACCTCATTAGATCTTTTAAGTGTAGTTAAAAAAAGTGTTTCACTTTGTCTGGTAAGATCCGTGCCAAAAGGCACACAGTGTCTGTAATATGATTGTGAAGTAATCCGCTTAGAGGTCACTGAGGCGTCGGTATAAAAGCTAAAGTGTGAAGTGCAGATCAGCTAGGGAGGTTACAAGTGAGAAGAAGAACTGA